GGGTAACGGGGAAGCCGGGAAAACAAGGATAGGGGAAATGGGGGGCGCAGGCGGAGAGGGGAAGACCCGGGGAGCAGTGCGTAAAGGGGAACGGGGCCGGGTAGAAGCCGGGGTGAGTTAGGGGTAATGAGGGGAAAAACGTGGCAGCCGGAAAAAAAAAAAAACGAGGAGGAGGGAGCGGAGGCGAGCTGAGGGGCGGACGGGGGCGCTGGGGGCTGGGCAAAAACCCGGGAAAGCCGAGCTGGAGGAGGATGGGAACCGGGTTGCGAGTGGGAAGAAATAAATCGAATACAGATGAAGACCTCTAGAGATTAGGGGTCGGGGGCAAATGGGAGACAACCGCCCGAGGCTGAGGAGAGAACTGGCGACGGGAAAGCGGGAGTATGAAAACCGAGCGGGTGGTGCCGGTAGTAAGGAAGCTAGAGAATAATAAAAACTGAGGGTCTGAGATCAGAAGCCAAATGCGAGCCCAGGAGAAGAGACCAGCATAGGGACTGTGGCTAGAAGTGAGGATCTGGGAAAGCCTGGCGGCGTCTTAAAAACGGGAAACGAGGGACAGGCGTGTCCTGGGAGTCGGAAGGGGAACACGGGGGTGAGAAGGGCAGCTGAGAGGAAAGGGGAGAAGAGTGGGATAAACACGGCTAGGACCGCAGGAGGACTGAGGGGACGTGGGCCCAGAGGAGGTGTTCAGGGCAAGGGAAACCGGGAAGGGAAAACCGGCAGAGGTAAAATGGAGGACTGAAAAAACTGGGGAGGAGGGCGCTTGGGTTAAAACAAATTAAAATAGAAAGACCGGGTTTTTTAAAAAAATGGCATCGGAGTTAAGGTAGGAAATACAGACTTGGTGAAAAAGGAAATTAAAATTCCACAACGCAGATAAAGAACTATGGGCTAGTGGGAAGGCAATGCGGAGGGAGCTTGGAGTGAAGCGGCTGCAGGAGAGAGAGGAATGACTTAAAGGGACATTGTTTGAAGCTGAAGCTAAGAAGTGAGGAAAAACCATGGGCCTGAAGAGATAGGGATGGAATTGGACCCCCTGAAGTGGGGGTTAAGGTGGGGACTAAAAGGAACTGAGCCAAGTGAAAGACTCCAAAGCCACCTACTGCTCCGGGGACTGGCGTGCTGACAGAAAATACCTTTTGAAACATTCAACCAGTTCTGTGTCCTCCCTTGCAACTCCTACCCTAGCCCTTTAATGCTGGAAAGCTTGAAGTCTGACCTTGCAAGAGGCATGTGTTTGAGAATAGGTAGGCATTTGAACGTGAGGGAAGAAAAAAAAAAAAAAAAAGGATGAAAACCAAGTTTCTGAAGGGGATTAGGAAAAGGTGCAGATATTTCAGGAGGTGTAATAGGGTGGGTAGTATCTACTAGTCATGGAAAAGAAAAAAAAAAAAGTTAAAATTTTTTTTTTCTTTGGTAAACTCATTTTCCCAAATCTTTTTGTTAACTTGTCAGGTCTAAATAAATATCACTAAAGCATTTATTTAAAAATAACTTTATTCCATACTCTTTAAAAAAAATCCATTTTAGAACCTCAGAACTAATTTCCCTCAACCTCCCCCCACCAAATAAGAAAATGTAAATAATGCAGAGGGATCTGCTTTTTTTCTTGGCTGCAGTTCCTGGCCAGGCCCCTGGTGAGAAATACCGGTTGGCACTTATTGCATCATCATAAATTTTACCCGGCAAGGATGATTTTCCAGGTCTTGGTGAGTGGGTTATGGAAATTTCCCATCATGTGTTTTCTTGCTGCAGTAATGGAGACTATATGTGCTTGTGAGAACTGGAGCTAATATCAAAGCCACAGGATCACATGTGTCCCCTCTCTGATGTTCCACCAGGTTTTGAAGAAAAGGCATGTCAATTGTGATATCCCTGAAGTGGTTTACTTTCTTGGTTCTGGTAAGTAGATCTCATTTCTCTTGAGTTCACATTATGTGCAGATAAAATTTTTCAAAAGCACAAATGTAGCAACCTGGACTTTGCCACTGTAAGGACCAAGTTCTACACCCCACTGTCAACATGTCTGTGGATATGGGGATGAATCGTCCTTTTTTTCTTTAAATAGCCTTAAAACTTGAAGACTTCCAGTAGTGGGGCTCTTAACTGGCCAAGCCATATTAGTGTACACACCAGGCCCAGAAATAAGTGATATCCATCACTGCTCAAAAGATGTGTGGTTTACAGTGTTTTGGCACCAAGACCTTGAAGTTCCCATTTGCTAGTGGAAAAACCCTGCCTCAGATATTTCCTATCATCAGGTGTGTGTGCAGGAGAAGAGGAAGTTGTGGAAAGCATCCCAATGATCTTACAGAATGTTCTCTGTGTTCTGGCTTGGGATTTTTTTTTTTTCTACATTTTGTTTGTTTTCAAGGCGGTTGCCTGTGCATAGCAGACTCTCAGATTGAGGATTTAATCATGGAAGACTCTAAAGAGAAGACTACGTCAGACTTTGTTGTTGTTGTTGTTGTTATGTGCCGTCGAGTCGGACCCGACTCATAGCGACCCCTCCTTGGGTTTCCGAGGCAGTATCACTACGGAAGTAGATTGCCCCGTCTTCCTTCCGAGGAGCGGCTGGTGGGTCAGACTTTCGTCAGACTTATCGTGACTTTAAAAGCCACCTGGCTGAGAATCCATTCTGAAATGACACTGCTGCGCACAGTTTATAGAGGTTAAGCACGGGAGGCACCACGGAGCAAAAGATGGAGCCCAACTAGGAGAACTGCACTTCGCAGCTATTCCTGAGGGCTGGGAATTACAGCCAGGTCCTGAGCTCCCCAGGGTCTGAGCTGGGTACAGGACACACACTTGAGTGATTGACTCAGCTTATGTAGTCCCTTAATCTAGAAAAATAACTTGCCCCCAACTACACCTGGAGGGTTACTTCAGACAACCAGCCTCTCATCCTCAGAGTATTAGAGAAAGAAAAGTCCTTTTAAGTCCTAGGTTGTGCCCATTACAGCTGGATATGCAACATTAAAGAGGGCAAATTTAAGTCAGACTTTCCGCTTTAGTGTGTATCGCTTAGACCTTTATAAGGTCCCTGGCATTTAAGAGATTTGGATAAAAAGAAAAGAAAAAATCTCTATACTGTACAAAGATCTACTTTGAAGTATCAGCCGCCTAAACTCATTACACGTTATTTTCATCAGAAGCCTCATGATATCCTTAAGAAGTAGGAAGGAAATGAGTTTTCCCATTTCCAAGACAGAAAAACTGAGGCCAGATGAACTGCTTTGTGCAAGGAACCATATCCTCACGTACTGTTACCAAATCTTTATCCTGCCTTCTTTCAGAGCAACAGAAGTGAACAATGGGAAAGGCTGAAAGCTAACAGTGCAACACCCAAGAGGCTTTTGTATAAAAATGAAGCGCTGCAAAAATGTGAGGTTATAATGAAAGGCACTTCCTCTCATCGGCTCTGGCCTCTTTGAAAAGGAGCCTACATGGTGCAGTGGTTAAAGCTCTGAGCTACTAACCAAAAGGTTGGTGGTTCAAACCCACCAGCTACTCTCTGGGAGAAAGAGGTGACAGTCTGCTTCCGTAAAGATTTACAGCCTTGGAAACCCTATGGGAGATTTCCACTCTAAAAAATGGTATCTTCAGGGAAGCAAACGGAAGAGCCCTGACAACACTTTCTTCTGAAACCATTCTCCAAAGAATGAAGGGCACGGGGCAGTAGCTCTTACAGTCAGCATCCCTCCTCCACTGGAAGGGTGAAAAAGAAGGTAATTAACACCTATTGAGCACCTCCTGGGTACTTTCACATCCAGAATTCTCTCATTTGATCCTCACCACAGCCCTGTAAGGTAGGTATGATGCCACCTGTTTTACAGATGAGGACATCAAGGCCCAGGGAGAGGTATAAAGTCATATCCCCAAGCCCACATGACAAGTAGCAGGGCCCAGACTCAAACCTGGGTGGTTGCAACTCCAAAGCCTAGCCCATACTGCCTTTCTCTGACAAGCAAGGGTAACTGGCACTGCGTCACCTTTTCCAGGGAACTGACACTGGCCTGGATCCTCAGCCCCAGCTCACCTGGGCAGTGACAGAAAACACTTCCCTATCACCCCACAGGATTCCTTTCTGTGCCAGGGTAAGCTGGTTACAAACCTGGAATAGTGGCGAGAAGGCACTGAGACCATGTGCTTTTTGCCCCTACTCCTTCTCTCTCCAAATTAGCGTCTGCCCCAGTAGGTGCACCTGGAACAAACTAGGAGTCACAGCAAAAGTGACACCTCAGATTCTAATGCAGCCCTCCCCCAAACACTGCATTCTCAAAGCTGAACACTTGTTGAGAAGATTTACAGCAAATCAAACCAATCTGGGGGAAAAAAAAAAAAAAAGGAAAGGTGTGTGTGTTTCTTTTTTGCTGAGAGACGGAAACCATTGCTAATGTAAGACCCCGGTTAGGGGTGCAAGTCAAAGCTGAATGAAAAGCTCAGCTAACTTGCTTTCCAAGCTTTTAAGCAAAGATAATGATGGACAATTCTCTTCTTCAAACTGGCCCATTGTCTTCTTGAACAATGTCACTTTGCAGCTCACTGCTGTCATCTGCATGGGCGGAAAACAGAACCAACTCTGAGTGATCTCAAGAGCATATTTCTATTTCTAATACAGTTTTCAATCATTTCCCGGATTTGTGGTTCTTTAATAAAAAGATGAGTGAGCCACCCAATTGGATCTCAGAGGAGTAGGTGGGGCAAAATAGGCATCCTTTCTACCTGCTCTCTTTCAGACTCCCCATAGACAGGACTGATGCTGTCCATCCCTCATACTCTAGTATGTGCCTTTCCCCTCTGTCCTTTCTGCTTCTGCAACTGTCCTTGAAGTCTCACCTCATATCCCACCTCTTCCATAAAGCTTCTCTGGACTAAATTACCCCTCATGGTTCTCATCTCTCTCTGAGGTCCTGTAATTTTCAAATGCATCATTCATTAGGCAATTAATCAAATCCCTCTTTGCAACAGCTCCTCTCCTGTTTTCTCCAAGTGTTGGTTAAATGTTGCCTCCACTCCCATTTTCCCCATGTTTGCCTCTTGTGCTTTAACTGATCTAGTGTACCTCCTTGCATAAAGACATTGTCTTTTTTTCCCATACCTTACAGTGCAAGGATTATGAGGCTGGCACAGGATCGGGCAGTGGTTCGTTGTGTTGTACACGGGGTCGCTATGAGTAGGAGCCAACTTGATGGCATCTAACAACAGCAACAGTGCCAATAAAGCCCCTGGGTGGTACAAATGATTTGCTCTCAGCTACTAACCAAAAAGTTAGTGGCTTGAGCCCACCTAGTGGTGCTGTGAAAGAAAGGCCTGGCAATCTGCTTTTGTAAAGATTACAGCCTTTGAGTAACGTGTCAATCTTGTGCTGGTAGTTGTCCCTAAATTCTCACGTTCCAGATAATAGTTTAGCTAGCTACCTCTCCAGCCTTTAAAAACCCAAAATCACCCCTGGAAGCTGCTGCTTCCAAAATCGCCTGCTGGGAAGCTCACTGTGGCTGATCAGAGGGCTTCTAATGGAAAAAGAGCTTACCTTGCAGAGCCTGGAGCCCATTTCCCATCTGTTCTACGTTCCCGTTCACCAGCGCAGTCACTTGATGGATGTGGCCATGCTTGCCTATTTCTTTTGGCAACTCCTCCCTCTCACTTTCTTCCTCCTCTTCTTCTGCAGCATCTTCCTCTTCCTCCTCTTCTTCCTCCTCTTCTGAATCCACCAAAACCATCACATCACCCATGTCTTGCCCCCTAATTTCCAAAGGGGAAAAATAATCAAGAAGATATCCCAGTGTTCTCCAACCTTCAGCCCTCACTGAATAGGAAACACTAGGTATTTTTTGCAGCCCCTTCAGCAATATGGAAAATTCCTCCTGCATTCAATGTGGTTGACTCAGGAGATGAGGGTGTGACTGTAATCTCCCAGAGGCAGGCCAGCACAGATTGCCACAGAGGATCACATCTGTACTTTTTATTAATTTCCCCTCAAAAACCACTGTCCCCTGCTTGTCAAGCAGGTGGCATTGTCCCAAGCACCGTCCATTTCACTTCCCGTCACAGAATGTGCACAAATACTATGCTCCTTTCCTGATAGGCCCTTCATTCTACTCTGCTTACTGACATGTTTCCACCTCATTCTTTAAAACCTAGGTAAAACCCCCCTCCCCTGTAGCCCTGAACTATGAATGCATTTAGAGTCTAGTGCCCAGTGTTTAGCATTTAGTTGCTCTCCAGAATATAGCTAATTGTGCCCACCCAGCCAGGCTGTCCATTACTTAAGGAAGGAAGAGTATGATGCAAACAGTCCCAGTCCTAGGAGTAAATGTTCTCATTTAATCATCATAACCCCACCTGTGCAACATGAGGAAACTAAGGCTCCGAGAAAGGCAGATACTTTTCCATGGCCTGAAAATGGCAGAGCTGAGATCTGAACCCACCAAACAAACAAAAAACAAACTCACTGCTATCGAGTTGATTCGACTCACAGTGACCCCTCCTTGGGTTTCCAAGGTTTCCTTGGGTTTCTCTACGGAAGTAGATTGCCCAATCTTCCTTCTGAGGAGTGGCTGGTAGGTTTGAACTACCAGCCTTCTGGTTAGCACTCAAATCCTCAGGCACTATGCCACCAAAGTTCCCACCAGCTAATAAGAGACTGAAAAATTAGCATGAAGTTTGTCACTGAAGAAAGAGCATAGATTTTGGAATAGTGGAACTGAGTCTGAAATGCAAGCACTGCCGTTTCCTCCCTGGGGATGAGCTTGCAGAAACGACTTTCTGTTGCTGAACCTCTGTCTCTTATCTGGACCTGGAGATACCACCACCACTACCCCAGAGGGCTTATGAAAGCATTTAATAATGCCAAAGGAGGCCACCATATAGTGGCTGCCACATAGTGTGTCCTCAGTGGTAACTGCTATCACTTTCTTTATGATAGGAAACTAAATAGTAGTGAAGACAAATAATGAGGATGGGTTATTGATTTGATGTAGGGAACACTCACCTGAAAGTGCGTCCTACTAAAGGGAGAAAGGAAAAAAAAATTAATATCCAATGACATCCACTTCAGCCTCACAACAGTTTTTAATCAATCTTACATTTACATAAGAATAAACAAATGAGAACACTGACCCTCCATAAAAAATGATAGTGTCTATTAAGGGAGCTCTGGTAGCATAGTGGCTAAGGCACTTGACTGCTAACCAGAAGGCTGGCGGTTCAAATCCACCAGCCACTCCTCGGAAGGAAGGTTGGGCAATCCTACTTCCGTAGTGATACTGCCTCGGAAACCCAAGGAGGGGTCGCTATGAGTCGGGGCCGACTCGATGGCAAATAACAACAACAACATCAACAGATAAATGGATAAACAAAATGTGGCACAGTGGCATAATGGAGTATTATTCAGCTGTTAAAAAGGAATGAAGTTCTGATACATGCTATGACATGGATGAACCTTAAAAACATTATGCTAGGAGCTCTGGTAGCATAGTGCCTAAGGCACTTGACTGCTAACCAGAAGGCTGGCAGTTCAAATCCACCAGCCACTCCTCGGAAGGAAGGTTGGGCAGTCTACTTCCATACTGCCTCGGAAACCCAAGGAGGGGTCGCTATGAGTCAGCGCTGACTCAACAGCACATAACAACAATAACAAGTGAAGTGAGCCAGACACAAAAGGACAAATATTGTAAGATCCCAGTTACAAGAAATGTCTAGAATAGGCAGATTCAGAGACAGAAAATAGATTAGACATTATCAGAGAGTAAGGGGAAGGAAATAGGGACTTATTACTTAATGAGTACAGAGTTTCTATTTGGGGTGATGAAAAAGTTTTAGAAATAAATATAATTGTTGCACAAATTGTGCCTGTAATCAATGCCATTGAATTGTACCCTTAAAAAAGAGTTGAAATGGCAAATTTCATGTTACACATATTTTATCACAATTAAACCACCTCCAATGAGAGGGAAAAAAAAGCCCATTTTTAATCAATTAAACATGTGCTAAAGAATGAGAAAATTGACCCAACATGAGCGATGATAGAGTGTTCAGGAATGGTACTTAAGAGCCCCATTATTACATATCTTGACTCAAATGAAGAAGTATACAGAATGGGACTTCAGGTGGACACATAAAACGGGCTTCATTCCCCCACCCACACTTTTTTTGAGAATCCTGAAAGAGCAGCAAAGGGGCCCAAGAAGCCCTACCTTTCCAGCAGAACACAGGGCTGTAATACAATATAAGTCCTGAGATTATGGCCAGTCCTATCAGAAGGAGGCTCACAATGGTTCCCACAATTCCTCCACTATTTAAAGGTTCTGTAAAGACAAATCACACCATTGCCTTGACCACGTGACATGCATGCAACAGGAGATGAGCACTTCCCCTCATATGCCCTGAGCCCAAGTCTTATCTTGGTTTCATGACCTGAACTACAGTATATGACAACTCTGTAAAACAAGTATCTCCTCTCCCTAACTCATGAGATTTAGGGGATCAAATGAAGCATCCTATAAGAAAAAATACTGCCAAGTTAAAATCTCTGTGTCTACCAGACATCAACACTTTCTATAAAGGCATAGTAATTAAGAGTGTGATTACTGGTGTCATGACAAACAGTTATGAATGGAACTGATCAGTGAAACCAGAAACAGACCCATAACATAAAAGGAAAGTTGATATATAACAGATTACTGAGGAAAAGAACAACAGTTCAATAAATGGTTCTGGGACAATGGTTATCAAAAAGGGAAAAAAGAAAAAAAGAACTTGATCCCTCACACCATTCATAAAAATCAACTTCAGATGGATTAAAGATTTAAATATAAAAGACAAAACATAAAGAAGTTTAAAAGAAAATAGAGAATGTCTTTGTAATCTTGGAACTAGGAAGAACTTCTTAAGACACCAAAATTGCTAATGACTTAAAAGATTCATAAAATCAACTACATAAAATAAGATGGCAATCAAAAGATACTACATAGAAAGTAAAAAAAAAAAAAAAAAAAGCCAATAAACTAAAAGAAGATATGTATAACACATAAGACTGAAGAACTACATATCTGAAAAAATGTTCAGCCTTCCCAGTAATTAGTTTCACAGTGAGATTCCATTTCATACCTCTATTTTGAAATAGTATTTTGAAATACTCTATCAACAAGATGGCGTGACACAGCGGCTGCAACAATGGCATAGCAAAGACTGTGAGGATGGCACAGGACGGGCATCGTTTTGTCCTGTTGAACAGAGTCCCTATGTGTTAGAACCAAGTCAGTGGCACCTAACAACACAATTTTGAAATTATGAACTTAAAAGAGAAATTATGAAGCCCGCTGGTGAAAACATGGATTAACCCTAGAACTCAGATACTGCAGGCAAGAATGGAAACTGATACAACCACTTTGGAAAATAATTTGGTATTTTCTCATAAAAATACACATACTATAGGTAGTCTATCATTTCTACTCCTTGTCTATATCCCAGAGAAACATCATTTTATATGGATCTAGAATTGAGTAAAAAGACAGCCACAGCAATACTGTACATCATAAGAAAAAAATCTGAAACAACCCAAATGTCTGTTACCAGGAAAATGAATTGACTTAATCGTGGAATAGTGACACGATGGAAAATAACATAGCAGTGAATAAGTATGAAGATTACATATCATCATGAATAAATTCTAGAAATAAAGTGTGGACCAAAAAGCAAATCACAAAAGACTAAATACGTAGGGTAACAGTATTTTTTAAAAACTCAAAAACAAAAATAAGCAATATATTTGTTAGAAATGAATACGTATGTAGTAACAAAATAATTAAACAAATACTTGGGAATTACAAACACGAAATTCAGGATAGTGTTATTCATCCCAGGATGAGATTGGGAAGGGGTCTACATGTAGGGTTGCCAGACAAAACACAGATAAACAATGAATAATTTGTTTGTGTAAGTGTGTCCCATGCAATATTTAAGAGACAGAGATAGACAGCTGCTGCCAAGTTGACTCCAACTCACAGCAGCCTTGAGTGCAACAGAACAAAGCGTTGCCCAGTCCTAACGTCATCCTCATGATCACCAGCATGTTCCATCTCTGTGGTTACTGTGCCAATCCATGTCACTGTTGGTCTCCCTTATGCTCGCTGACCCTCTACTTCACCAAACATGGTAGTGTCCTCCCGTGACTGCTCTGTCCTGATGACATGTCCAAAACAAGCCAAAGCAGACACCACTCTGTTGTGATCCATAAGGTTTCCATGGCCAGTTATTGGAAGCAGATCACCACGTCTTTCTTCCTAGTCTGTCTTAATCTGGAAGCTCCGTGGACATCTGTCCATCCTGGGTGACTCTGCTAGTATTTGAAATACTGGTGACATAGCTTCCAGCATCACAACAACACGCAAGCCACCACAGTAGGACAAACAGACAGGCGGTGGATTTGAGACATACTTACACTAAAAAAGTGTTCCTCAACCTTCTGAAGTGCAAATTTTAGTGAACATCTTTATTGCTTTGTTTTCTTTCTACATCTATAGCCTAACTACAGGTAACTTCAGTGATATTGGCTCTGTGCTACATCTTAAGTGGGATGGCAGTTTCTTGGATGTTCATTTTGCTATCACTCTTCACAATTTATGCATATTCTTTGATATATAACAGATAGTGATTAAACACTTGGATGTTAACTGAAAGGCTGATAGTTTGAACCCACCAGCCACTGCACAGGAGAGAGATGTGGCAGTCTCCTACCATAAAGACTGCAACCTTGAAAACCCAGTTCTACACTTTTGTACAGTTGCTGTAAGTCAGAATCAACTCCATGACAACAGGTTTGTTGAGTTTTTTTGTTTTGTTTTGTTTTTGTGTTAAGCGAATGTTAGAGATACGGGATTGCACGATAATTTGTCCCAGCCATAGTCAAACAGACATGCTCTCTTCCAGTTGGCAGTGAACACATGCAGGAAAGCCCCAGGCCTTTCCAGGCTGGTACCAGGCCCTCTGAACCCCTCAAACCTCCCCCATTGGGCAACTTCCATTACCCACCTTTCACACTGAGCCAGATCTCCACCTCCCTCACGCCAACAGGGTTCTCAGCCCTGCAAACATAGTAACCATCATCCAGGTGCCGGGAGCAATTGCGGATGGTGAGGGTGGAGCTCTGGTCGTGCTGGCTGATAAGATAGTGTTCGCTGGGCTGGATGACTACCTCAGGCTTGGTGAGGTTCCTCAACCACAGGACCTTGGCAGGGGGGTAGGCCCCAGACACTTGGCAGGTGAGTGACACGTTGCCCCCAACAAAGCAAGTCTTCATGGGATTAGAGAGAAGGGAGGGTCTCCCTGGAGATCAGAGGGAGAAGGTCAAGAAAGACAATTTTTTAAGGTGATTCAAGCTGGGGCCTGAGATCTTCAAGAATATGGTTTCTTTCCTCATGAAGCCACTCCAGGACTTTTTGCACTACACATGGCCTTACAGAATAAGAAAAGCTAACGAATGAAAATCTAGGCAGTTGAATGCTACTCACAATAAAAAAAGAACTACTGATAAAATCTATAAAGTGGATAAAGCTCAACATTATGCTAACCCAGACACAAAACGACCACAGAGTATGAAAATGTTCAGAAAAGGCAAATCAAGAAAGGCAGGAATCAGATTAGTGGTTTCCTGTAGCTGAGGGTAGGAATGGGGATTAACAACAGAAGGACACATGGGAACTTTCTGGGAATGTTCTAAACCTGGATTGTGGTGATGGTTGAACAACTCTGTAAATGTACTAGAAATCACTGCACTGTACCCTCTCAATGAGATGAAAATTGTACTTCAATAAAGCTGTTAAAAAATGGTATGTATTGTGTAATACCAAAACAGGTGGCAGGCCACACAGTCACGATTCCATTGGTAAGAATCAGGCAGAAGAGGCAAATCCACAGAGACAGAAATAGACCAGTCCTTTCCAGAAACCGATGGGAGGGAAATGGAGAGTGACGGTTAATAGGGATGGAGGTTCTTTTGTGGGTGACAGAAAAGTTCTGGAATTAGGTATGGTGATGATCGTACAACACTGAATATTCTAAAAGCCACTGGATTTTATGTTATGTGAACTCTATCTCAATTTTTTTTAATTGCAAAAATGAAACTAAAGAAACAGGTGGCAGGCCAGATTTAGGTCGCATGTAGTTTGCCGACCCCTGTCTGAGCGCAGAAAGCAACTGTTAGTTCCCACTGATACCCAAAGCCTGGTGGAGGACCTAAACAGAAGAAACACCCTCTGAGGGCGTGTCTGCTGAATGAGTCCACAGGGAGGGTCAAGCACGAACCAACATGCAGCCTCAGAAAACAAGCACCTGGCACAATGGGCTTCACTTCTCACATTCCCACTCTCCATGGCTGCACTCCAACGATTACCCCAACACACTGTGAGGAAAAGCCTCGCTATGGCTCACAAAGCCGGACACACTCTGGTCCCTGCCTACCTGTCCAGCCTCACTTATACCTCACACGCTGGCCTTTTCTCAGTTCCTCAAACACACCAGCTTGTTTCCACCTGAGGGCCTCTGCAATAGCTGTTCCCTCTGCTAGGAGTATTCTAGTCTCAACCCTTCACCTGGCCAACAATTTCTCATCCTTCAGGTCTCAGCTCAGAATATTACCCATTAAAAGAGACCTTTCCTGCCACCCTTCTTTCACACACACCATTTTACTTTCCTCAAAATGATTACCACTATCTGCGCCTATCTTACCTGTTTTTGTACTTCCTGCCTTCTTCCCATCTCCACCCCACCTTGAAGAATTTAAAGTCTGTGAAACAGGAATAGTGATTTTAAAAGTGTTAGAAATTCTTTTATTCTCCTCTCTACCCTGAGTGGAGCCTAATCTTTCCAAGCTCACCTGAGTATGGGCGGGACTTAGTGACTCATTTTTAATAGAATTTGGCATAAGTGATGTGACTCCTAAGGTTAGGTTTAAAAGAAAAGAAAAATCATTTCTGCTTGGCTCACTCACTCTTGGATAGTTAACTCTGGGGAAAAGTAGCAGCCATATTGTGAGGGCACTCAAGCCGCCCTGTGGAGAGCTCAACGTGAGAGGAACCTACTTGCCAGGTATGTGAGTAAGCACCTTGGCTGTGGACACTTCACCTGATTTCAGTCCCTCTAACCTTCAAGTCTTCCAGCTGAAGGCCCATACAGTACAGACAGAGACAAACCATCTCCACTGATGTCTGAATTCCTGATGCACAGAAATCATGAGATAATACATGACTACTGCCACTTGAAGCCACTAAGTTTGGGAGTAACTTGTTACATAATAATACATAACTAATATACTAACTTTGTCTGTCTTATTCACTGCTCCATTCCCAGCTCCTAGACGGTGTCTGGGATATGACTGTTGTTCAACTAGTATTTGTCAAATGAAGTAGAATCAAGAAGCTTGGTTAAGTTTGAAAGGAAAGCAACATAAAGCAAAAGAGAAGGAGGGCATTCCATGCGCTCTGACACCTTGGAACTTCCTTCCAGACCTTCTATCAAATTATTCAGAAGGAAGGAAGGCAAGTGAACCCCGACTCCAGGATGAGGCAAGCCCCACTCACTGATCTGAACCATGCAGCTGGCTCCCGACTCCAACCCCACGACGTGGCTCCCAGCACACTTGAACTTCTTGCCATCCGACAACTGGGACCGGTTCAGCATTTCTACCCCCAGATTGGACTTCCCCACGATCACACCTCCTGGCTCTTCTGTCCACAGGAAGTTTGGGTCTGGGTATCCCCCATCCCAGCGACAGGTGAGCTGCAGCATGACCAATTCTGATGACATCTCTGCCCAGCACTGAGGGACGGATGGAGGGGCGTCTGCAAAACACCAGGGGGGAAGGTGGGCTTAATTGCCGATGGTAAGATCAGCCATTAGGCTGGCTCTAAGTATTACAGAAACCAGGTTATCAGAGAAGCATCCACCCTGGCTATTGTACCTTGAAATAACTCCAAGCACAAGTTAATATCTATGAGTGTCCTCCTAACATTTTTTTTTTTCTTGACCTCTCAGAAATTTTGCTCTTTCTTTCTGAGGCTGATCACAACTCCCACCTCCAACCTTCAAACTAGTCCCATCAGTTGTCTCCTGCTTTCTCTGCACTTGGCTCCTAAACTCACCCCCTCTGCATCTACAACGTCCTCTCTACAGATGCCTTATCTTCTTTAAGATACACTCAGACTGCGCCTATCTTGGAAATGAAAATCTTCTCTCTCTCTCTCTCTCCTCTCTCTTTTCAGACTCCTTTCACCCTCCCCTTCCCTATCTTAAAATATCACTGCAATACTCAGCATCATCAGTCATCAGGGAAAGGCAGCCATTCAACTGGCTAACATGAGAAAGAACACCCAAGTGTCGGCGTGGATATGGAGGAACTGGAACTCTGGTGGGAATACAAAATGGTGCAGCCACTCTGAAAAACAGTTTGATGGTTTATTCTAAAACGGAATAGACACCTATGTTACGATCTAGCAATCTCCTGCCTAGTGAAATTAAAGTAGATGCTCACACAAAAACCTGTACACTAATGTTTTTAGCTCTGATAGCATGGTGGCTAAGGCACTTGACTGCTAACCAGAAGGCTGGAGGTTCAAACCCACCAGCCACTCCTCGGAAGGAAGATGGAGCAATCTACTTCCGTAGTGATACTGCCTCGGAAACCCAAGGAGGGGTCGCTATGAGTCGGGTCCGACTCGACGGCACATAACAACAACAACGTTTTTAGCAACTTTATTTGTAATCCTCCAAAACAAAAATTCACCCAAATGTCCTTTAACTGGTGAATGAACAAACAAGCTGGTGTACATCCATACCATGGGAAAGTCCCATTGACACAACAATGTGGCAGTCTCTCAGATGTATAACTAAGTGAAAGTAGCCTACACAAGGCTATATTGTGCATGCTTCCATTTATAAGACGGTCTGGAAAATGCAAAACCATAGGGATAAGTGTGGGGGAAGTTTGACTACCAAGGATTTTTGTTTAAAAATGTATGTTTCTGGCCCCATCTTCAAAGAGGGATTCAGTAACTCTGGAGTGGAGCTCAGGAGTCTGCATTTTTAACTACTATCTTAGGTTAGGTGACTCTGAGGCAGGTACTCTAGGGGCCATAATTGGCCTTACAGCCACCGGCAGAGCAGATAAGACCAAACGTAAAACGTCCAGTCTCTGCCCTATAGGAATCACAACACAAATGGACTCAGAGCCCAAACACTCAACCTCAGCAAAAAGCCAGGTGTTTATTAATGATGACAACAGCCAGGTCTCCTCTCCCAGATGCTGTATCTCCAAGGCCTGTGCCTCACTCATCTGTGGGCTTCTCACTAACCACACGTGGCTCTTTATTTTATTTTTAGTGAGGATACACTGGGCCAAACCCCCTTCCATTCTACAGTTTCTGCACATAATGGTCAGTGACACTAATCACACTCTTCACATGGTGTCCACAGTCTATTTCTGTTGTAGTTGTTTGACTGCCATTTATTTAATCTCCCTGCCCCCACCCCCACAGTCTTCTTCTCCGTGTTTTAAAATGACTGTTGGGCCTCTGGTCTTATACTGATTTTTTTTTTTTTTTTTTAATT